TGAGGTACAGCCGTAGTTCTCAAACCTACACAGGAAGACGAGGTCTTTAGTGAAGACCTTTTGCTCAAAAGCTTGATTTTAGTGCTGCAGTGATTGGCCTAAGACTAATCGAGCAGTCTGACCTCCAAGGTATACTTTTATACACCTGTCACAACTCCCAAACTCGAAGGCCAGGAGGCCGCTGTGTCAGACCACAATTACTTGACCAACCTACTTAAAAAGACTGAACACTACATTGTCATCCCCCAGTTCATTAAAAGCATACGTGAAAAGTCACGTAACGAAAAGGTCCAGCCCTTTCGCCACAGATCTACTCTCTCCTCTGTGTGTAATTCTTACGTGAATCAGCATCAATGATAGCTCAGCTGGAGAGAAATACTCATGCCCACAGGATATTTAGTTGAACTTCTCTTCGGAAGGTTATTCAAACAGCTCCCAATTTCGCGAAATACACTCATTTGCAAACTAGTTTGGTTTTTCACCCAGAACCCAGCTGGATCTCTCGTTTGTGATGTTTCCAGGCAACTGAATGTGCTGCCCCAGACTGCCTCATGCTTCAGTCGCTACGATATTCGAGAAATCTTGATACATGTAATGCACTACTCATAAGGTTGCTGAAAATTCGTCGACAACCGGTTTCGTCCTCCTTGGGGCTCATCAGGTAGGCATAGCCCCCGAGTTTCCGTCAACCTTATGTTCTACTTGAAACTAAATTGCACGAAATTAGCGAATATACACTCATTTGCAAACTAATTTGATTTTTCGAGGGACGCACCCGGAACCCAGCCGACTCTCTCGTTTGTGGTGTTACTAGCTACTAATTTTTATCACCTGTGTCATAGAAATTCGTCTCTGATAGCCTGCTGAATGTGACAATTTACACGATAAAACGCATAAGAGTTGAGCACCAATTCCTTTGAACCCTTCTATCTAGAAGAGCGTTACAAGTGGATTACGGAAACAAACAAAATCGAGTTTTGCATCAGAAAAAACGATCCATTTTTGTGTGCATCTTCCAGGCTCAAAAAAGCCGGCGCGCAAGTCAGATGCCTCGCATTGTTTGACAGCTGAACGAAAACAAACGTTACGTAAGTGTTCAAGTAATTTACGAGTCGCCAACAGGTAGAGTTTATGTCAAGCCAACAAAGACTAAGTACTTTTTCCTGCCAGGAAAAACTAAAAAAAGTGATTTGAATGCCAATTTATGAAAACCTTTTCTACAGATAGTCAAGCGACCTATGCTTTCATGGCAGAACAGATATGTTGTGATTTGTTCTATTTGGCGTTCGGCGACCTCAATCTCATATAGAAAGCCAGTTTCTTCCCAACACTTCCACCGAAACATCTGTTGGAAGCCATGGGTTAAAGGTCAGAACATATGCAGGACCTCAGTCCTAAAATAGATTCTGGCAAGTGTGCGTTCAAGTAGGTTGTGGAGTGAAATTTGTTATCTATCGGCGCCGGTTTGTCCCCCTTTGTGGACGTGAAAATGGGCTACGCTGACTTTAACCGAGATTGCCAAAGTACCACAGTTTTTTAATCACATTTTATCATTAGTCGATCATTACCCAAAATCCATACCCCAAAACGTGAAACAGGATGTCCTAGATAGAGCAAGTATGATAGTCGTATCGACTTCGGTTGCGTAACAGATACTCGTGAACTGAAGCACACTTAGGCCATAGGTCACAGGTCATCATTTAGCTGCAGACTCATCACACTGTCATCCCGAGTGCGCGCCGGATACGCTTCGCCATTCTGTTTGAGAGTACTCTAATAACGAAACATGTGTACTGTATATCAAGTATACTCACAGGAGATTGATTTGCCTTCTTTTTAAAGGGGGTTTAAGAAATACGCTAGTTCCCACCGCGCACTTATCTCGTGTGAATGGACTTGACTTGCGGTCTCTAGGGTGGGAAAGTCTTGCTTTCTTTGCAACAAAAATAATCAAATTAGAATTTTAGCAACCTTATGAGTAGTGCATTACGTCTATACATGTCTCGCGATAATTGAAACAAATTTATTGGACATTCACTCTTTTAAGTGAGTGATTCTATCCTGAAGCCGTCTTGGCGACACATAATTGTTTTAGAACTACGTGAAATCCGTGATCTACGTGAAAGTGTTAATGATCAATGAACCACTGGGGTAGCCGTTGCTACGGGCGAGGAATCGTCTCTCAAAATGATCAACTTCAAGATCATGGAGTAGGTGTGAAATGATGATGGTCTCTTATGAACTTATTGGGAAGGAAAACGGCAGTTGAATTGAATTCGTGCGCAATTTAGCATCCAAACGGCACCCAAAGTTGCATTTCTTTGTGGTGTTTTCAAAGTGTTTTCAAAGTTCGCAAAGCTGATGATGTTTCCGGATGATGGAGATGCGAAAAGCAATCAGAATTTCCACTGAATCACTTAGGTGTATTGTCGTGATAATGTCGTACTTCGATTTGCGTAGATTATAGCTTACTGGAACGGTCGATGGACGGTGCGCTTCCAAAAGGCTTCCCACCTAACAGAAAGTAACTAGGCTCTTCCGGGCACAACCAGGTTAGGGGTGAAAACAAACAAACAGTGACTTGGCAGCAAAGTATAAAAGCCATTACCAGCGAACTCAGCTGCGCTGGTCATTGCCGTCTTCCTGGATGGAGACTCCGAGACGGGCTACATCAATGGTTGGAGACATTGTCAGACATGGCCCAGTCACGCTGTCAATGGCGCTCATGCATTCAAGCTGTTGTTTTCAATGCGTAGCTCCCTTTCCAATCCCCCCGATTAACGGTCCACCTATATTACTATATTTACACATCAGTTTGTTAGCTGAATGTGCAGCTATCTACCCCACCCACCCCCGAATCATCGGTGAACGAAACTGAGGCAGCTACAACCACTGCACAACAAGTGCGCCGTTCTTGCAGCTGACAATGATGATGATGATGATGATGATGATGATGATGATGATGATGATGATGATGATGATGGAGAAACTTCCATAGATTTGGTTTTCCTCTCACTACTTTCTGAAAGACCTGATATCACCTTCCTATCCTCATGGACTGGATGCTTTCAGAGTACGGCTTTTGTGTCATGACCAAACGGGTCTACCAGAAGCTTCAAACGATCGTTCCAGCTCACATGACTGTGGGATTTATAGTCATGTCGAAAAACTGAATCATTCCATTTAAGCTTATTTCGCAGTTGAGCAGCTAGGCATTGACGAAAACTTTTACCTTGATAGTCGATTCCGGGGAGACGGGAGATGATCTCGGCTACGAAAATACCTTGGCTAATTCCGACGTCGCATCAAGTTGATGTGCGTGGGTGTCTCAAAACTCATCTGGAACTCGGTCTCCCTGAGTGTGCATCTCAGAGAACAAGCGTAGCCCTTAACTTATGACACTCAGTGGGGTGTTCGACAATAAATATCACCATATTAGACTTTCAAACATGCGGGTTTGTAGTTGCGATTTGACCTTGGTCAAGTAACCTCAAGTGGTATGACGTGGGGCAGGTTAGTAGTCTAGGCTGAATAGGTTACTTGGAGCGATAAGTTGGGTGATTTGTATATGTTTATCATTGAAATTGCTGAATACAGGTTGAGTGGAGTGACTAGATGATGTGAAATGGTCACAGAGATGGTTGGACAAGGTCAGATAATCTCCGAAATACATACCATTTTGCATTCCAGTGACTAAGGGTGAATTTGTCTTCTTGACGAGCAATCTTAGTCGAAACTGTGATCCCGTGACTTACCAGCTGTTCATGGAACCACGGGTGATAATGTATCAGATTCGTTTCCTTTCGCTGATTCTAAACCTGTTGGTTCTCGGTGGAACCACGTTTAATCAAGAGAACTGAAGGTGGTTTAATTTCATGTTAAGTCCTCCTGCTTTGGCATAAAGGCGAATGGGGCATTCTGATGCACCATTTGGGTACCTTTTAGATACCTAATAGACTCGAGAGAAGAATATATTCTTTTTGAAATCAACCGATCTTTTATTGATTATTTCTCAACGACAACCTCATTCGCACAGAAACAGACAACGTTACTTGAGAACTTCGCTGAATGAGCAGAGTTCACAAACGCCACTAGGATGAAACTGAAGCAATAGGAGTGAATAACATCAGTGTGTAACGTTTAAAGTACTCAGACGATTGGTTTTCTCTACACTGCAAGACTTACATGTGGAAAAAATAATTTTATTAACACGTTGAAATGCCCGAGGCAGATGGGTACTGATCACGAAGCCTTGTTTGGACAGTAGCGAAACAAATGAATTCGAGCACAATACCAGTAAGAAATCCCAACTATTTGTGAAATATATTCCTCGCGAGCTACGGTTAACCAACTGTACGTAGACATTTGGGCTTCAATGTGACGGCAAGCTTGGTGCTGAGGTTAGTCACGTGTTATGTACCAAAGGATCCTTTAGGAAATCCCAGGGATAATCCAGTCACATACAAGCAAGTATAACGAGTAACTGAATGAGTCATCTGGAAACAAGCAGCCACTTATGTAGGACACCGAATTTCTGCAAGTTGCTACGATGCTGTTTTAAAATACGTAATTTGAATATTGGAAGCACAGAGTTACGGTTTAGTTCAAAATTTTCCAAACACTCAGAGCATGTGATTAAATCAGTCCGCACGCCTGCCACTGCCAGATCAACATATCGGAATGCTGTTGGCATTGGCGCTCGTTATTGCACTTTGTTCATGCTACCACGTGACAAATCCACACAAACAGGCCAATCTTGTAAACATGCGTGTAGCAAATTATGTGGCAGAAAAGTATGGATGCTGAGTTGGCCGTCGGAGCCTTTCGTGGGTCCGCAAACCCCAGATTTCGATTCACGCGACACAAACAGCCAATGAGTGAATCGGCCTTGTAGATGGTTCTGATTGGTTGATCTGAATCTGGCCAACAACTGGCGTGACCAATCAACCTTATGTAGTCGACATCTAGTGGCAACTTCAGGGTCCGTATCACATTCGAAGATGGTCTCACCGAAGGCGCGTCGCATACTGTTTCCCATCGATCGGAGTGATCATTCCAAGCGCGCCATCCAGTGGTATTTGGATAAGTTTGCTTGGGAAAATGACGCACTCTATTTGGTTCACGTGGTTGAGCCTAACTACTCGAGACGATTCAGCGAGGTATCACCTGACGATCACACAAGTGCCCTGACCAATAAAATGAAGGAATCGGTGGCAGCCGGTGAACAAGTTGGTGCACAATATCGAAGTTTTTTGAAGGAACGTGGGAAGGAGTCTGAATTTGTCATGCAAGTGGGCACCAAACCAGGTGAACAGATAATCAATGCAGCTCGGGACGTCAGTGCGGATGTGATTATAATTGGAAACCGGGGGGTGGGAACGATCCGGCGAACAGTGCTGGGCAGCGTCAGTGATTACGTGTTTCATCACTCATCCATTCCGGTTATTCTTGTGCCACCTACGGTTTCCTAATTTGAGTTAATTTAATAAATCGCTCCTTTTAACATGTCCACTCGTGTTCACCAATGAGCCCTATCTTAAGGTAACGGTAAGTCTCTTTTGTCGGGTGGTTAGGTGACTACTTAAAGAGATAAGTCTGGAAGAAGCGTTTTAGTTAGGATGCCAGCTAGTGTCAGCTCAGTAGATCGGAAAAGATTTTGGCCTTGGGAATTTGGCTTTTTAAAAAGAGCTAATCTGCCCGCATTTTTACACGCACTGAGATAGCTTGGAACATTTTACACCGAAAAATTTTCGGTTTTAAAAGCAACAACAGTGCTTTTAGATTGACGCTTGGCAAACAACTCTGTTCAAATCATCAGACTGCTGACTGCAAGTCTGCGCAAATCTGTGAGGAATTGTTTAAAAATCTCTCTGCATGTGAACACTCAGGTTGTCCGTGCCTTAGTTTCCATTCCGTTAATTATATGTTAGAAGATCCACTCAACCAAACAGCTCTGAGAGCTATCAGTGAGAGAGGTTATCTGTGCGATACATGGATAGTGAGAACTGTTGTTTCACAAACCCACCTGCGCTAGAACGTTCAAAGCGTAGTTTGGGAGTACCCAAGCGAATTCTTTGGTGCGAAATGAATCGGGCACACAGTTGACTGATCCCTGATTTTCAGGGGGTTCCTCAACTAATGGAACTAGTTAATTATACCGATATGTGAGCAGTGTTTTCTTGAATAAACAAACTCGTCAACAAGCAGCTACTTTCCTGGGGACGATTTCTTCAGACTGGAAATTTTCTTTATGTTGTTTCTTCTATTGAAAGGTTAGCCTCTCAGAAATGCAGCCAGAAACACACACTAAAGGGCATGTGATCCTACCAGTACAAAGTGTTCCTTCCCAGTAGTTCAGGTAATCACATTGTCCAATCATGAGCTATTGATCATTTAATACATTTTGCGTGGATCTGTCCGGTGAAGGAAGGCAGCGGTTTGGAGGGGGGCGGGTTGCTATCAATAATAAATTGAGTTGTGCCTTTGGAAACTGGGAATAGAATTGGCTAGACAGATCCACTGGATTCTTTCTGCTACCGATGACATTCAAAAGAGCGTCCTTCTGGGTTTGAAGGGGGGCTTGTCAGGCTCTCAGTATCGAATTTGATGGACCCATCACTTATATGTATTCAATTTATATATATATATATATATATATATATANTCTTTCAAGGAACGCGCAACTTCGAGGCGACTAGGTTAGAATCTTTCTGGAAGCGCTGTCTCATACGTTTTAGGTCATGCTTCAGTGACACTTTCTTTGGGGTTATCATGGACACAAACGAACACGAAATAATCTACGGAAAAGGTTTATCATACTAACCTGCCGAGAAAACGACATGCCGAATATGGTTACCGAGTAGAACGGACAGGTGACAAATGATCTATGCTTTGACGACGCATGGGTTTGACCGTCATTATTTGAGTGTAGACGTTCGCGAGGAAAACGAAAGCAATATATGCAACAATCCAAGTGCGTTTAGTGCTTGTTTAGTAGCGACATACTCCGTAGTTCATTATAATCGTTCTCCGCGCCTGCAGTATGGTCAAGTATCCCACTGGTTTGTCGTTGAAGTCCTGAAAAAAACCCACTGAAGGCCGCTCATTACTCAGAAGTTATGTTTTTCAGTTAAATAAGAGTTCCAGAGAAGTTCTTTCAAGCAAACTTTTATATTATTAATGCGACTGCGCCGTCTGAGAATAAAGTACTTTTAATCAAATAAATTCTTGTCCTCTGAAAGTTGAACAGGTGTTTCAACAGGTGTTGAACAGGTGTTTCTCATTCATACCATTTTGACGACATTCTAAACTTGTGCTGACTTCGTGAAAAGTCGGTTCCAACGGCTGGATAATTCCTGTCGGCAGGAACTAATCTGACTCGACCACTGATATTGATTCAGTGGCTGTTCGAACATGGATTTAGCACACATCGATAGTTTCAGATTGGCCAAATCCGTAGATCTCAGTATGAAATGGCATATTTAGAAGACATAACTTCAGTCTGATGGGTTAGGAAATCTTTTCCTCTTTGCGACGATGAGCTTTGGACCCGCTCATGTTGAAAGCAGCATTTATTCTTAGGGACACTATTGATAGGAAACACTGTATTTGAAGAGCATGAATGAAACCTGTTTGTGATGTTTCTGTCGAAATTTGTTAAATAGTACTCAGTTCTACTATGTTACGAAATGGAGTAGTTATTTGTCTGCCTGGATAGCAAAGGACATATAGCAAGGAAAACCTAGTGGAGTTCTACACCAACCAGGGAGAACCTCCTGGCAGGTTGTGAAACCAGCAATCCTGAGGGTTTTGTCCCCTTGAGTGGTGATCAATGCTGTTAGGACGATAACATCTTGTCAGCATTTGATTGAATCTCTTGATTTTCCAACAGATAGCACTCTCCGACTTCGTGTCACACACTGACAGCGGACGAGCTGGTTGACTGACGGTAGAAGCCGAACTGGCATGATAGGACTTCAATGAAATATTGTACGCAGAGCACGAAACTGCCTTTCAACATCTATTGGAGTATTAGATCGTACCCAGTTGAATTCAAGACATAAGGAACGCCTTGCAAAACCATCTGGTTTTAAAATCAACCTCGATGTGCCCTATTTGGCGAAAAAAACGTTTTGTCCGATTCTTCTACAAACGTTTGACAATACCAAGTCGGTTCAAGGGTACATTCGATTAACCGAGTAACAGAATGTCATTACCGAAGGGCCACAAATGGGCCAGCAGCTGGTTTTCAGGGGTCAAAATGTCAGGCGTTTTAGACAGGCAGAACGAACTGCGATTCATTTGGGGTCACGTGGGCCAGCAGCTAGTTTTCAGGGGTCAAAAGGTCAGGGGTTTTAGATCATCTATCGGGACAGGTAGAACGAACTGCGATTCATTTGGGGTCACGTTCGATCTAAAGCCCCTCAACTGAGCTTTTGGGTACACTGCGGCGGGAAGCGAGTCCGGCTGAAAGTCACCTCGGGTGTGGCCAACTTCTGACATTAAGAGTCTCTTAAACGTTCGTGCTTCCAGTTTGACTTCCAGACTTCATTCTGAAAATCTACAGTCATGTTGATTTGGTTTTCCCCAGAGACTCAATTGAATCTCTCGTTTATGATATTCTACAGCTGAAAGTGCTGCACACAGGCCGCCTCATGTTTCAGTTGGCACGATATTCGAGGTATCGCAGTATATTTTCATAAAGGAAACTACTCACAAGGTTGCTGAAAACTCTTGAACAGCCCACGACTGTTTCCGCCCTCTTGGGGCCAACTGAAACATGAGACAGCCTGTGTGCAGCACTTTCAGTTGTAGAATATCATAAACGTGAGATTCAGTTGAGTCTCTCGTGAGAACCAAATTGATTTGCAAATGAGTGTGTTTCTCGAAAACAGTCCAATTAGGGTTCAAGTAGAACATAAGTTTGACGGTAACTCGGGGACTGTGCCTACCTGATGAGCCCCAATAAGGGTGAAACCTGTCGTGGGCTGTCGAAGAAGTGAGTATCTTCCTTCAGTCATTTTGTTTATATATACAGGAATAACAAAGGAACTTTGAGACTTTACCGGTCAAAAAGCTATAGTTTGAAGCATTCATCGAAAAAAGAAAATGCTCGGAATTTCGCGCAGCGATAAACTGAAGATTCCAAAGGAAAGTAATCTTTTTTATGCGTACCGCACGATTCTGGTTTGCATTGTAGCATTAGCTGGAAGTTGGAGCGTACTTGGATACTCAGTTAACCAACCCGTCTCTGAAGGTCTGCGAAGCGCAATTTCTTTACCGACTGTGTATTCCTAACTAAACCTCCCGATTATTCCATTTTATATGTTCCGGTTCATTGGAGTTCAAAAGCTGAGTGAATTTCCTATCAGAGGCGGAGGAACGCCAACGCGAACAGCGAACTTGTCATGAGATCTTGATGAATAGTGCTCAACCTAAGTGGCCCTTTCTCATGTATCAAGTCAGTCTCATCAAGCATAGCCTGTCGCGCTAGTAGTATCTGTCGTCCGGCTGCACATATTATACTGAGACTGCGACAAACGGACTGCGTAACTCGCGGAACTTTCCCTCAGAGCATTCTGTACTATAGGTCAACCACGAAATTTTCAGATCTGCCTTCACGATATGACGATTAGAAGGAAAGCTCCTTTCCAAATTTCAACAGCAGACAAGATCCGATTGTGTCCATGAACTAACAAAAGACGAGCGCGGAAATTAAACTTTCGTGACGATCAGTTGTGTTTTCATTGTGACAAATCAGACTTTGAATGTTAGCTGAGCTACACCTCGGTCTAAATAGGAACTTCCTTCAACTCATCGTAAAACACCAGGTCATGTGGCACTAAGTAGCCAACGGAGAACTATTGATTAGTGGAACCGACTTTGTGCCTTTGGTGAAGGAAAAAGTGATCCAATCAGAAAATTAGCTCCAAATACCTAACTTTCAGTTGGCGTGTAACTTTTATTTTTGTCTGTGTGAAGTTCTTTGCAATCAATTAATGTGGTATTTGGTCTTTTTGGTGACCTGGGTCAAATCTGTGTGTTCGCACACATATTCGTTTTTCTCCGTATGGCCTAGATTCCCAAGCACGCCCACCGTTGTACCTTTCATCTGTAACTCTGTGTATGCTTGTGGCTTCAAGCTTCTGCTCACCTCCCGTGATTTTGGAACGGGCGCTGAAGTAAAGATAATTCGTACGACCAGGACTGCTCTACAGTCTGTTATTCAGAATTCCACTCATGTGACCGCATTCCGTTCTCGCTTGGCTGGTCTGTGCAGCCACAAGGAGACTTAACACATCGTGCTGTTTAGGTCGCTTGATTGTGGCTCCAACTGACGAATGAACGAGGTCTGGTAGCTATATTCCGACTATTATTCCTCAAACCCACTGTAGAATTTGAAATCTACACTTCGATTTTGATGTTTGGGGTCGATTGGCTGCATCCAATGTAGTCTTCTGTTCCGTAAGTT